TGGTGAGCTTGTGAATCACTTGTTACATACATTCATGTATGCATGTATATGGTCATAACTGTTATCCTTTTCCTTTTCTCTATCTTAGTGAATAGTTGCATCTCAGCCCATTAATTCTACTTTTTTTTTTTTTTCTTTTCCCCAGTTCTCTTCCCTATTCCCCTGGGACAGAGGGATTGAGTGAATGACTGTATGGTGCTCAGACACCTGCCAGGTTAAACTACAAAAAGATATTATGTTTCTTTGTAGTTATGTCAAAACCATTGCCATTGGGATGTTCAGCATGAATTGCTCGATGCCTTGATTTTTATAGAAGGGCTGTGGACAGAAGTTGCAGTTAAAATTGGAAAATTTAATCTTGATTCCTTGCTGCTGTTTTCCAAAAGCTATCCTGTAACACGTACAGGAGAGCAGACACGGGGCAAATATGGGTTGAAGTTACTTTTGAGTGCTCCAGAATCTGCAAGACTACTTTAGCATCATGTGAATTAGGGAATATTTTGAGGCTACTCTTAGACGTGCATGTTCTTCAAGTGTAATGCAGCCTATAGTTCTTGAAATAGAGTATACTGGGTATCCTCTCCTTCACCCAGCACCTTCCTTGACTGTGAACAAAAGCAGCATTTCCCCATGGGCTAAAATCTGCTTCTGTATTACACCATACAGCTTGACTATATATATATATATATGAATGAATATAACAAATGATGCACAAGCATGAAAAGCAATTAAAAAATTGATTGATTAAAACAGAGAGCCCAGTGTCCTGTTCAGGGAACAGGAAATTTCCCGTTCAGGACTTTCATGCATGCTTGCTTTTCCTCTCAATGGCAGATATTTGAACACCCTTTCTGCAAATTTACCTTACTGTGGCCAGTTGAGTGGTATCAGCAACATGGTTGGGCTGAGCAGTGAAAATGCACAAATACAGCATTAAAAATAAAATAAAACTAGTTACCTGACCCAAGTCAGGTGAGTGGTTTGCAACCATTGGGCTGGTACTAGTGCATGGCTCTTACTGAGCTCCCAGGTGTCTGAAGAACTTGTTTATACCAGTGAGGTGGTTTGTGTGGTTTGCAGGGAAAAGGCTTTGAGGCTGTGTCCAGGGAATAGCAAGGAAGTTGTAAAGGATCTGGAGCACAAGTCTTACAGGGAGCAGCTGAGGGAACTGGGATTGTTTAGTATGGAGAAAAGGTTGCTTGGGGAGACCTCATTGCTCCCTACAACACTCTGAAAGAAGGTTGTGATGAGGTGGGGGTCGGCCTCTTCTCCCAGGTTACAGTGATAGGACAAGAGGGAATGGCCTCAGGATGCACCAGGGGAGGAATTAGGAAAAGTTCCTTCCCAGAAAGAGTGGTGAGGCACTGGAACAGGATGCCCAGGGAGTGGTGCAGTCACCGCATGTGGAGGTGTTTAAGGAAAGGGTAGATGTAGTATTTAGGGATGTGGTTTGGTAGGCAGTACTGGTGGTAGGTTGACGGTTGGACAGGACGCTCTTAGAGATCTTTTCCAAACTTAATGATTATACAATTATATGACTTGAGCTGATGTTCAAGTAGTCATTTTTTCATTTGTATTGCTGCTTTTGTCTTTTAGGCCTTTGCTTCCCCCATGTATATCACAATTCCTACCTAGCAATCTTTGATTTCCATGTTTCTGCTATTATGAGGGTCTCACAAAGCACTTTACCTTCTGTCTTGCCGGCAGCTGTGAACATGGATCTTACAGAATCCCTGCCTTATGTGCCCCTGACGCTTCCTAGATTCTACCTGGAAACTAGAGTTCAGCTGGCATCTTCTGTCTCCTTGCATTTTCTAGATTTTGCAGAAGACTGAGGTCTGTATTTCTGTTTTAATTCCATGTATCTGTGCTAACAAGCTGTTCTGGGTAGGAAATCAGGTTTGCATAGTTTTCTTGCAACAGATATATAAACTGCATGTTTCAACAACACACACTGAAGGCATTGTGAAACTGCCAACAGAGCCTTCCTGTGAATGCTGTCTCATTGTCAAATGACAATAACTAATTATCTCCTCTATTTTTATTAGAAGACAGGTTATTTCTTACTTGGATGTCTTCCACTCCTACCAGACACTGTTTCAAATTTTTTTGTGAAGGCAATCTCCTGCAAGGTGTTCCTTTCCCATGTTAGGTATGTCTTTTTATTGTGGTGCAACAGCGTGATGGCTCTTCCTGTTTGGAAGCCTCCCACCCGGGTTACAATCCTGTGCATCAATAAAATCCCCTGCATCAAAATCACTCTATACTGAATCTCTGCTGAAGTTATGTTTCTGCAGTGGATTCAACTAACTTTGGACACATTACCTCTCTATCACACTGCATGTTTCAAAGTCATCTGGGAAACTTGGAAGAAACTCTGCTAGTTTACAGTCTTTGAACTAAATTAATACATGTGTGTGGGCATGTATTGTGTTGCCTTTAAATGTTTATTCAAATCAGATATTTCAGGGATACTAAGACAGTTTCATCTTGGTTTTATTTTACCCTTAGGTCTGTTTGCATGACCTCATAGCTGAGAGCAGAGCTTTTGGTGATTTTGTGATTTCTCCCACCTTTCTTCCCTGTTGTACCCATAAATGTATAGCAGCATCAATACCATTGCCTTTATCTCTTATGTCTGTCAATTCATTGCACTCTTTCCTTCTCTCCCCTCCTGTTTTCACTCTGAATGTTCTGTGAGGCATGTGCTGCAGAGATGGATTTGTCTGAGCTGTCTCCTGGCACAGTTTCCTCGCCCTTCCAACTCTCTTTAGCAGCTTTGTTGCAAGGAAACTGCCATGCACGGTGTGCTCTGGGTTAGCTATTCATTTTGCTGGTGTGTCTGCTGTGAAGCAATTGCCTTAGGCATACTGTAAGCAGGATCAGTACTTGTGCTTCAGTTGAAAGGCACATTTTTATCTGTGCCACCTGAAGTGTCAGCCTGCATTCTCTTTCTTTCGAGATTCAAATGATCATTTTCTTAGTCCCAGTGCCATTTCAGTTATGCTGTCAAGGATGTATAAATGGGGTTTTCTTAGCTACGACTTCTGTGTCTCTCCAAACTGACGTGGCCTCATGTTTTAAGTGATGCCCATTCTCTGCTTGGCCTCATGTTTGTGTGCTGCTGCTGCCTGTGCTCCAGGCAAACTGTCTGCCTGGGATATTCACATGAAGAAAGCCTTCTAACCCGACTGTGTGTGAGCTACCCCATGTTAACACCTCTAAATAACATTGACTGTGAGTGGGACATGTGTATGCTGAAGTTACTGAGTTCACACATTACTTTGTGAGGCATCTCTGATCTTCTTTAGCCACACGGACCTTTGTTTCTTTCTGCCAATTTAGGAGTCTAGGCAGAAAAAATTCAAAGATTCATGGCACATGGCCTTCCTCAGCTGCAATACGTTCTGCTCATCTCCAATTGGATTTTTCCTATCACAGCCATCATGTGTGACCCAGTTAGAAGAACAGCCACCTCTGAAGTCAGCTTCCTCTGCTACACCCATGTAGTCTTTCTTCTGAATCTTTCTGTCCTCTGCTACAATTGCAATGTTCGTTGAAGGGCACTCATTGCTTTCTTTTTCTTCTAGACTGAATTTTTAAGCTGCTCTCAGTCTCCAGGTTTGCTCACTGAAAGGTTAGACAAACACAAACATTGTCATATAGGAAATGGCAAGATCACACAGCGGGGGGTAAGGGATGTAAGGGCTGCCTACAATGGCAGTTACCACCAGTTCAGCTTTGTTGCCATGTCAGACTGTGCCGACGTTGCAATCCAACCCAAGGCAATACACAGAATTTACATGGACATCTGTATGGGGACAAGAAATCAGTGCTGCTGTGACTGATCTTTTTTCCTATTTCTGATGCTTTTCATCTACAGGAATGGACTGAGATCTGACACAACACTCAGAAGCAGATATAGAAGTTTCAGTGCTATATTATTTTCCACCATTACATTGATAATTATAGAATCATACTATGGCTTGGGTGGAAGAGACCTTAAAGACCATCCAGTTCCAACCACTCACTAGACCAGGTTGTCCAGGTTGACCCCATCCAGCCTGGCACTGAACACCTCCAGGAAATGTAGCTGACTGCATAGTTTCATATTACTAATTTTAAAAGCAAGTTCTGTGTGTTGGGGGATTTAATACACAGGAAGTCTCCAGTACAAGGTCATTTGTATTTAAGAAACATTTAGGTATTGTACTACAGGATGTGGTTTAGTGGGAAATGTTGGTGATAGGTGGACGGTTGGACTGGATGGTCTTGGAGGTTGTTTCTGACCGTGGTGATTCTATGATTCTATGATCTGCATCTCTAACTGTAAAAGAATTCAGTACCTAGTTTATTAAATTTAAATTAAAAAAAAAAATTCCATTGTAGAGGAAGCCTGGCAGTTGCTTTTATTCACAGCTTATTCAGCTCAATCTACTGTTCTTCAACACTTCTCTTCAAATCACTGAGAAGATGTAGCTATTCATCTGCTTCCTTATTTCTTCCAGCAGCAACGCAAAGCTGGAACAAAGCCAAAATATGCTGTGACTAATGGAAATCTGTGGGAAATGTTATCTTAATAAGCCACCACCAAGCTTTGTCAAAAGCAATGTGATATCCGGACACAACTGTGGATGAGGTGACAGTTGTGCTCCTTGGGGAAGGTCTCTTCTTCAGCTAGAGACTGTTGTAAGTAACAATGTTAAGAACTGATCTCTGGTGCACTCAAAACTTCCTTGAACTAGCAGGAGACTGCATTTGTCATTCTGTAACCCAAAATCTCTGTATCACACCACAAGAATTGCAATGAGGGCAGCTCGGACTTGAATTTAGTGAGGGGCTGCTAATATATGTGCAGTGTAAAAGTATTCACAGTAAAATAATCCTACCCATCTAACCTTACAGCTCTTTCCTTACTGTGAGACTACCCTATTTGAAAAAGCCTGAAGCACTTCTGTAACGTACACCCAATATAAAAGAAAAACGCTGACGCTCAGAGCTAAGTGGTTGTAAGGCACAATTTTTGATGGGCATTTTAATGCTGCTATTTGAACAGGTCCGCCCCCAGCACCCATTCTCCCTCATTTAACCAGGGCTGTTTCTTGCTGTTGTTGTCAAGCTTGTGGTGATCTCTGTTTTCCAGAGGAGTTTTCTTGTGGCAGTTCTGCCTCTTTTTGTCCCGTAGCTCTTGCTGTTGAACTTCCTGGAGCCAGGAGGCTTTGGTTTAACACTGATCCTTCATCACAGTGCAGGGAACTGAGGGAAGCGTAGCAGCTGCAAAGCGCAAGTCATGCATGATGGTGTCCAGGCTCCCTCTTCGCACTGAGATCTCCAAGTGCTGTGACAGCACGAGGACTCACTGCTCATCCACTCTTGCAAAGCTGAAAAACAAACAAACAAACAAAACAATCTCAGAAAAGTCATTCCACTGAAAGCTGAGCTGAAGAGATCAGCAGATCTGTCACCCACAGTGGTGACAGACCAGAACCCAGGAGCCATGCACACGTACAAGGCTGTGCCTGTGGCTGGAGCGAACCTCAGAAAGTCCTTCTTCAGGGCAGGAGCTCCCCAGGGCCTACCAGGTGCAGCAGCAGGAGCCTCCACAGCTTTTAATTTTCAAATGAGGCTCCCCGCCTCAGCACACGCACGGCGTCTGCACAGCGCTTTCGCTACGGACTGCTCCGCGCGCCGCCGGCAGGTGGCGCCACAGTGCCCCGCCCTGCGCGTCGCCTTTGGGGAAAGGGAAAGCGGAGGGGGCGAGGCGGAGCATGCGTAGTGCGTGCGCCTCGCCCACCCCGTTCGCCTCCGCCTTCTGCTCTCGCCGCCGCTCCCCCCCCCCCCCCCTCACTACCACGGGGAGCGAGCGGGAGGAGGAGGAGGAGGAGGAAACAGGGAGAGAGAGGCAGCTCCGGCGGCCCCTGGCGTTCCCCTCGGCGAGGGGAAAGATGGCGACGCTGGGAAGCGAGCCGCAGCCCTTCCCCGCCGCTGCCCTGGCGGTGGCAGCGGGCGGGGTGGGCGGCGGCGGCTGTGGCGGCGGCGGTGCGTTGGGTCTGCAGCCTCTGAACCGCGGTCTGGAGCGGGCATTGGAGGAAGCGGCTCACTCCGGGGGGCTCAACCTGAGCGGCAGGAAACTGAAGGAGTTCCCGCGCAGCGCCTCCGCCCTCACTCACGACCTCTCCGACACGGTGCGGGCAGGTGAGACCCGAGGGGATGGGGCGGCCGGGGTCCCACTTTCAGGAGGCGAGGAAAGGAGATTAAATCTCCGGGAGATCCCTCTCTCCCCGCCCTCGCCCCCTCGGGCGCATTGCTTCCATTCCCACCTCGACCTCTGAGGCGAACAGCTCTGCGTGGACCTTATCACTGTGCGTGGAGCTTATCCCTTATCTTCGCCCCCAGCTCAGCTCGCTGCCTGAGGGAGGTGTCGGCTCCCAGATGGCTGCAGCCACCCCCCACCTCCCCACACGCACACTCATGTACTTGTAGGCTGCTTTTGCATCGAGCGAGGCAGAGCTGTGAGAATGTGTGTGTGTGTGTGTGGGGGGGGGGAGGTTCAGGCTCAAGCCTGGTTTCTGCACTAACCTTGAGGACTGCAGGTCTCCGTGCCTCCCTGGAGCCCGCCTTTGGATGTGGCTGTGCGATGAACACGTTTGTGTTTGGTTGGATACTTTCTCACCGTGTCTCACCTGTCGTGGAAGGGCACAGGTCTGTGTGTAACCACGCGAAGATGCACTCGAATGCTTCTTAATATGTCTCGCTACACGTGGAGGTGGCAATAGGAGCACTTTTGCTCTTCAGGGAGCTGTCTTCCACAAATGGTTCTTGTCAGGCAGCGGGGTTGATAGCCACTCTTGTATGCTTAAAGTCATAGAATGGCTTGGGTTGGAAAAGACCCTAAAGATCATCTAACACCAACCACTTGCTGTGGGCAGGGTTGTCTCTATGAGATCAGGCTGCCTGGAGTCACAGCTAACCTGGCCCTGAACATCTCTAGGGATGAGACACTCACAGCTTCACTGAGCAACCTGTTCCGGTGCCTCACCACTCCGAGTACAGAATTTCCACCTAACATCTCACCTAAATTTTCCCCTCTTCGTTTAAAGCCATCCCTTCTTATCCTATTACTATCCGACTGTGTAAGTAGAATTATACAAAGTCAGGTAGCAGTATTTCCACCTCTGTATGTAATGCTGTCTTTCAAGGCAAAAATCATCATCTTTACATGTACTCATTTTACAGTGGGGGACACCATCATTACATACATTCCCAGAAGAGATAGGCCTAACAGCCTTGCAGAAAGGTGTAGGGAGGGGAAGCGTTTGTTGTCTGTGTTCACCTTGTCCTTGTGCCTCCTTCCAATGTGGAAAATGCCCACTTGTTTCACATCTCTAGGAGCAGTTCCCAACAGAGGACCATAATCTGGTTTTCTGCCCCTGTTTGTGCAAGGGGCTGGAACCTAATTCGTTCTTTGCATAGCGTCACTTGGTAGAACTGTACAAACCCACACGAGAAGAATGTTGGTATGCTCTGAAGATATTTACTGTACCTTCTCCACGTGCCCTTTTGTGTCCCCATTTGCCTGCTGAAGATAGTTGTGTTGTAACAGTAAAGGAGCAGGCAAGTAATCACTTGTTCCTGTCCCACAGAATAGCAGGTGCTATACCTGCATGCAAGCATGTGATAACATGAACCTCAGCTCTCACCCCTGCACACGAGGATATCTGTGTGTTTCTCTCTGTGGAAACAGCTGCTGGTGTTTATCTCAGCTGTAGGGAGCAGAGTAGTGTCTCCAGTACTTCAAGTTTAGTTCTTCTTCAGCTCTGTCACTTGTTGCTGAATGGATTTCACAGTTTGTGTGAGCACTCCTGTAGAGAAAAGAGAAACATGAAGGAAACTTCATTTCATTTGTCAATGAAACTTATTAATTGGTAGCATTAATTGCCATGCTGACAATTAAGTCACTCGATGACAAATGCAGTAGTTAAAGTGGTAAGATGCACGGTAATAGAACTGCATACAGTCAGAAAAAAATGACTATCAGCTTGTCTCCCAAAGCAAGATGTTTTATCTCTGTTGTTTTTAAAGCTGTGGTCTAGTGAAGGCATGCTGTGGTATAAGATAAGTAGTTTGGAAATTCAGAAAGGTAAGCTTGTTTGGGTCAGCGCTACCTCAAGCCAAATTGTTGGTAAAACAAATTACTTACTGAAAAAAATGTTTTTGCACAGGTATGTTCTTTGCAAGTGTGAGCTGTGTGTTGTATGTGTAGGTAGCATGTGTCTGTTACATGCTTCTGTATTCTGTTTTCTATTCTGTTGAGGAGAGAGTTTTATTCTCAGAAAAGTAGTCTTTGCCTTCAAGCATTAATGTGCTTTCATCAGAATTTACACAAACGATACTGAATACGTAACTGAATGTCGAATGGGTTTTTCCTTTTCTTTTTGCTTTGTGTAAGTGGCCGTGTGAAGTGGCCCATGGCTCAGTTCTGTAACTGCTGTCCTTCATTCCTTGTTCCCGTTTAGGAAAGCCACGTGCTAATCTATGGTTACTTTATGTTTCTGTTTGTAACAGCATGTTGTTACTGATTAGTGGGAATTGTTTGCCTTGTCAGTTCAGTCCTGTGTTGAAACCTTCTGAAAAAATCTGTGTTCCTTTTCACTTGTTACATTACATAAGTAGAATATATAAACAGAAGAGACGCTTGGCTTAAGTCCAGCTTTCTGTAACTCTCAGGACAAACTCTTGATGGGAATTTTCTCTCTCACTTCCTCTCCATAAATGTGCATGATACAAAAACGGTGCTTTCTTGTACTACTTGCGATATGTCCCTACAGTGAGTGACTTTTACTTTTGGATTTGATGTACTGTTAAGTCTCTGAAGTCATGTTTGGGGTGGGAATAGTCATTCTGATTGCTAAAGAGGGCTAATCTCACTGAAAAATGAAGCCAATCCAAGATTGAGAGAAGACAAGCATAGGGGATTGAGTTCTCCGAGGAGAAGGGGATTTTGAAAAGAATGAAAGCCTGTCTGCATCTTGACAGTGTCTTAGCCTTAGGTACTCAGAGAGTTCATGGGTTGAGAAAATGATGGTCTCCAGACTAATGAAATGTTATCAAGCTCATCTTCTGCGAATGTTTTTAGTGCTTTAAAAAAGTCTGAGGAAGATTGAGGTCTTAAACTTGAAATTCTCTGTTAATGTTGTTTTTGTTTTCTTGAGGTTAGGAGTCAGACTTTATGTAGCAACTGGTAAGTTTGCAAAAGGAATGTATGCTGCTTGCTTTAATAGCTGGGAGCGATTCACTTGACTTTTCTAGTTCTTACAGTAGTTACATTCTGCAGCAACTGCAGAGGCTTGTCACTTGTCAGTTTCTGTTAATGCAGTTTTTTGGGATGTCTTTTTCTTCTGTAACTTTCCTTTGCATTGAATACATCTTGCTGTGATTGTGCATGTGGCTTTCTAATCACAGAATGGCCTGGGTTGAAAGGACCACAATGCTCATCCAGTTTCAACCCCCTGCTATGTGCAGGGTTGCCAACCAGCAGACCAGGCTGCCCAAAGCCACATCCAGCCTGGCCTTGAATGCCTCCAGGGCATCCACAGCCTCCTTGGGCAACCTGTTCCAGTGCATCACCACCCTCTGTGTGAAAAACTTCCTCCTAATATCTAACCTAAACCTCCCCTGTCTCAGTTTAAAACCATTCCTGCTTGTCCTATCACTGTCCACTCTCATAAACAGCCATCCTCCCCCCCCCCCCCCCCCCCAGTTTACATGCTCCTTTCAAGTACTTGAAAGCCACAATGAGGTTTCCCTGGAGCCTTCTCCATGCTTCAAATTTTCTTCCTTCTTGTTTCTGAAAGTTTTTCTCAAGAGCTGAGCACGACCCACTCTGCTGAATCATCTGGCAGTATCGTGAATGCAGGAGAGAGTTTGCGTGGTGTGCAATATGGTTAGAAGAAAGTACATCCTTTCTGTAGAGGATCTTGAGTGTAGTCAGATGTTTGAAACCACATCAGTGTGGATGCATTGCAAAAAAAAAAAAAACATTTCAAAACCAATAAATGCTATTCTTATCACTTTTATTACAGGGTAGCTTGTGCGGAAGACCGCGGCGCAATAATCACATAGTTCTTAAGTAATAGTATGCAATTATATTCCTCAGAACCACTGGGAATGCTATAAGCATGTTAGTTTATAAAAGAAGAAGAAAAAGCCTCAAAGTTGATATTTAAACATGTATCCAGGGCTGCCTGTATGACTCCAACCTCTGTCTGTAGGCTTTGGCAGCTTGTTTGAGGATAGATCCGCTGAACTTTTTCTCCCAGGTCCCTGTTTCATCCTTTGCAGGGTTAGGCACATAAGGGAGAGAAGCTTGCGACTCCTCTAAATGTTCTTTGGCTTCTTTACACCAGGAAGGATGTCACCAATGCAGACCTGTTCATTTGTGCTACTGGGCACTTTCATGAGCCCACAGTAGCTATCAAACGGAACCTAGTATTTGGTTATTATTTGGATATGAGGTTCGAATATGTCGCTTTCCTTTTAAGAATTCCCTTGGGTGGCTGGATTTTATATTTTGATTATCTTATCCAAAATTCCTGTCAATAAAACAACACTGTAAAACTAACTAGGCAGCTGAAAAAAAAAAAAAAAAAAAAAAAGCCCCCAAAGTTATTTTTTCTTATATTCAACAGCCGGTCCCTTTCTACAACCTTCCTGTATTTATTTGAGGATTTTTATTTTTACTTATTCCCTTACACTTAAGATGTTATTTGTGTATTAAGTGAAGAGGAGGCAGTGTGCTTCTTTATTCTCACAAGTGAGTTGAATGTTACTCTGCAGCCAAAACTTATGGGATGCAATTCTCTTTTGAGATTATTGTGTTTATATCAAGGCTAAAAACTGAGCATAATTTTGATATTATTTATCTAGCAGCATACATGCAGTTATCAGTCTTTACCTTCATAACGTGGTCTGTCTGGACATCTGTTTTAACCAACTATCTAGTGCTTCCTAGATATTTCATAAGGTTAATGCTGAGATATTACATGGAATGGCCTGGGTTGAAAAGGACCACAATGCTCATCCAGTTTCAACCCCCTGCTATGTGCAGGGTCGCCAACCAGCAGACCAGGCTGCCCAGAGCCACATCCAGCCTGGCCTTGAATGCCTCCAGGGATGGGGCATCCACAACCTCCTTG